TACAAATTCAAAGAGTTGTTAATGCTGGGTGAACCATACAAACTGAGAATTAGTGCTTGCAGAACTTGGTGCGTTTGAACAGTGCGATCTTGGGTGGCTTCAGGTTGCCTTTTATCGAGAAAGGTGATTAAAGAAGGGGTTGGTCGGGGGAGACCCTGTTTTGCAAAAGTTAGCTAAAAGATCATACCGTTGTTTTTATAGCCTCTGATTCCGTGGGATCCTAGCACTCCTTACAGGCATTAAGTTCTATTCTGATGCAGGCACCGAAGTCACCAAAGCTGACCAGCCTGTACGTTTTCGGAAAAGTCGTCATGAATGTGGTCAGTTCTTCGTAGGACTAGTTCCTGACCTCGTCGAACCTGGACATTGGGGAAAAATAGGTGCTGCCGAGGGGAACGAAGTTGTCTCCCGAAAAGAACAGGTTTAAAGTAATAAGGAGGTGTAAGTGTCCTCATGCAGACAAGGGAGTCGTTTCTTGAAGTCTTTCCAGCCGCCAAAGGAGACACCAACGTCGCGTTAATCTGCCTTTGGGTGACCGCTTCAGAACATGGTGTAGCAAGCACCCACTCATGTGGTTGACCCTGTACAGCGAACTGAGACTCGCTTCCGGCAGCGTCCCTACATTGTTGCGCTCCCGTCCTGGAGCGGCTAGCGCCGCCCTTCTTCTTCGCCGGTTACTTCGCGGATTAACTGGAAGTGAACAAAAATTCCCGGTTTTAAGACTGAGGAGTGTTCTTCCAGCAGACCGTGGGGTAAGAAAGGGGATGGAAACAAGGGCTTTTTGTTTCTTTGTTCCAATTATGAATTTTTCAGCTACTGTCCGCTTGGGATTGACATGATTCTAGAGTTTTTTGTGACACTTCATCTAGCTACCTTTCCTACAAAGAGGCTAACAGGCTAGTGGTCGTTCGCGTTCGCTGTAGGTATGTGAAAAGCGCGGGCTTTGAGTGACAGACCTTTTCTTACATGATGGGCGTATCTTTCGAGTATATATATATGGACTTTGTTTAAATATCTCTATTGATTCCGCCATTATCAGTCCCTGGGAAAATCTGCTGCGGGTACCGTAAACTCGCTGCGAAAACGAGTACCTATGGAAATCTAAACTGTATTAGGCTCTCCGAAGGTTGACGGAGTTCCTACGCAAGTTTGTTGTTTAGGCTTATACGAATAAATCACCGAAATGCAGGTCACAGTCCTGATTCCTCGTAAACCGGCAGGTCTGTATATGATCTCAACGAATCTGCTTGTGTTCGAGAGGCAAAAGGCTAAGCACACCATGTCTGTTTTTGCAGGATAAAGTCCTCGTGTCTTTCCTGATTTTAGTCATCTTCCTTTGAACTCCATCTTATCTTATTCTAGTCGATATTATCCTACAACGAAATTTCAATACGGGCAAGCAATTTGCTGGTCGGATTATACATGACGTTGCCCATCCGTTGCATTCTGATCTTATTTGAGTGAAGTTCTCCCGCCCGATTCGCCGCTGCCTCGGACTTATGTCTTGTCGCACATCGGCTTTTCGAGCTTCTATAGTGCCATTCCTGGCGCGCTATCATACGTATGAGGAAATAGAAATGCAGAAGCTAAGACTTGAACTGTCCGCATAATAATCGTCCCTTTTGTGTTAAACTTTTGGACCCTGGAATAATCTGTTGACTTTTTTCTGCCCATAGCGAATGGACTCAATTTTATTTGGAACCAAATTTATTCAACTCAAAAATAATGCCATGGTCTGGTCAATATCAAAGTTATTCAATTTCCATGAAGAACATATTATGCATGTCCCCCAAAAACTACGCACTCCAATTTTTATATTGTACATATCGTTATTTTTTAAGACTTCTGTGATTATTTTGCCTTGGAACTCAGGTTTTTTGAACTTAAGGCAACCTGTCAATTCGCGCTCTATTGGCTAAACGGACACCCAAAACAAATGCAGTCAAAGGGCAATCGAAATGGATGAGCTTGGTTTAGGTTTTTCACTGAGTTCAAAGAAGACTGACAGTGCCTAAAAATGCTATAATAAACATATTCGATTCTATTCAATTGAATATTTTGCATAAGTGGGGTGAAATTTTTTTATTTGCGTCCGCATTAAAAATGATTACTGGGACGCCATTGGGTCCCGGGCTATGGGACTGACGAGAACGCCGCACAGCAACAGTCACGTACCAGAGGGTGGAAGGTATAGCTTTGAGAACGGCGCCGGTGCAATCCTGGATGGGCGGAAGTGGAGCGGACGAGTTTCAAATCAACGTTTTGTACAAGAAGGCATCGAAACTATCAGCGGTCAACAGGGCGTCTGCTATAGGATTCGCAATAGAGTCTCGGAGGATGGGTATCTGCATTTGTCTGTGAGCTCTTACTTTTGAAAAAAAAGTTTCGAGATATGTAAGGAGCAGTTTTGGTGAATTGGGCCTATTGGGCTAACCGATTGTCACCGAAAGTCTCTTATCCTGCTCAAAAATATCACAAATCGAGGGCAGAACGGAAAATCCATTCCGAAGGTGGAAACGACGAGAGAGTCTGCGCAACCTGCAGCAAAATGGCAAGTGGAGGAGAACCTCATCCCCGATATGAATTATCTCCTTGCGGGGTACATAACGAGAAATAAGCGGATCCATAATTTCGTACTGGTTAGCAGTGCAAACATTTACGCCCAAACTTCGGGAGAAATCAGTCCAGTCATAAGAATTAAGGTATGATAATAACTCGGTCGAGCGGGCCGGTAGGATATCGAAGATGAAGCTATACTTTGGGGGACAACGCTTTATTAGTCCCGAAATCTAACGTAGAAACAATTATGTCGTGGTCGGAGCTCCCGAGTGGGCCTGGGGATGACATTGAAAAATGCATGAAACCTCGGCAGAAAATTAGGCCAAGTATGCCTAATCTTCGGGTGGGAAAATCGACAACCTGAATCCACATCCCAACATCCACATCCTCAAGTAAATCTTCGAGCTTTCTGGGGCTGGGCGGGACCACTGCAATTCAGGAAGATTGGAGTCAGAGGCAGCCAACTGATACCTAAAGCTTGAGTCGGCCGCAGCATGAAATGTCAGTGAGAGTAAACAATTAAAATTCTCATTAGCGTTGGAAGGACGATAGACACAGCCGAAGGGAAAACAAAACTTATTTTTTTAGTGCAGCTTGAAGCCAGCAGCTGCCTTGTATCAAGGGGAAATGCGGGAGGTCCAGCGGCAGAAATGCAAGTGTTTGCTTGACGTGGATGCAACTGCCCCCACCACGGCTATCTTGACGATCATTTCGCATGCAAGTATAGCTTAAAAAGAGAGTTTGGAATCAGCAACGGCGGCTGATGCCCATGTCTCAGTTCCTAAACAGTATCTGGGCAACGGATGAACACCAGAGTCTGATGCAAAGGCAACGTTTTTGCGAGGACCTGGTATTTAGGACGAAAAACTTAAGGGAAAAGACTATTTGTATCTGAGAGAGGTAAACGAAAACATACAGTGGCTCACCGCCTACGGAGAATAATGTCAGAACGCACCTGTCCGGTACGGCAAAATATTGTGACATCGAAAGAGCCTGATGTGGATACAGGGTAGTGAGATTTGGGGAGGAAATGGCCTCCTGTCAATCACCAATTCCACTAAGACCATCATCGATCTTCCAGCACCAATGCAGACTCGATACGAATCTGTCCCCATTCCGATCCTGTCTTCATATCACACATCGGCCCAGTCGGCTACATGTTAAGCCACAAATCTGGGATAAGCTAAATCGGGATCAGGAGCATCTACATGCACAAGATGCACCCGCATCCACAATGCCAACGCACGTTCAGCCACTGCATGAGCCAACTCCTTCACAGGCTGTCCATGAAAATCTGCTGTACGCCGTGAACAAAACAGCACCACCGAAGGTTTACTAGGCAGTAAATACACACACACACGACAGTTCGACCGTCGATTTCGACAATGTCCACCGTGTGCTCCACAGCTGCATCAGCGGTGGGAGCAGGGACGGTGACTTGCGCAGGGGTTTATAGTGCGGGTAGACTTGCGCTGGATCTACCTACACTCTCTCCTCCTCCTCCCCTGCCGGTGCCCGGTGTCAAAACAGAGTCAAGAAGACCGGAGACTGGGGAGGACGCGGGTGGATGGCTCGGACGGATCCTCACCTTGGCGTTCCACCACACCCCCTGGTCCACACAACAATAACCAGGATTTCAACCAACACAACAGAGATTTGGAGGCTGGCACGGCCGAAGCCGCAGCTGGGCGTGCCGCCAACGCCTGGCTCGGATCCCACGCTGTGGTGGGAATGCCATAAAGGCCACATTAAAAAGGAGCCATTGCAGCCTGACTCTCAGACCGCCTCCAGTCGAGGAGGAGGTCCAAGTTATCCCGTCAGTTGGCAACCTTCCAAGCCACGGCTGTTGGCGCACCGTGATAGCTTCAAGCGCGTCAGATTGTTTATAGTGAGGAAAATGCGCTGAGTCGTCGACCTCACTCTCCCTTCCCATTCCCACACCCCAGCCGCTGTCCGAGCCGGTCAGCAGACTGGAGTGGGGAATGGGCACGGTGGCTGACATGGTCGACTGACCATGCCTGCGCGCGCCACAGCACGACCTGGCCCCCCATACACACAAACACCAGGATTTTACACAACGGGGGTTGAACGGCATGTATCTCACTTGCGTGAGAGGGCCGTGGATGGTGCTGCTTCAGCCCGTCCCCAGCCCACCAGTCCGCCACTACAAACAACACCCACACAACGTGACGAACTGCGTGAACCGAGAGCAGGCCTCAATCAGCAACCTTCCTATCCACGACGCTTGACGTGTCGGGATAGTCCCGGACACAAGTCACCCGTGCAGCCGAAGCCGCATGGGGATCGAGTCGAGATGCACACTTCCCCCTTGCGTGGGAGGCGGCAGTTGAGTGCATGAGGTGTGTGAGAGTTGATGTCTGGTTGGGTGATGGTGTTAGGAGGTAGGGAGTGAGGGAATGTGTGATGTGACCGGCGGTTGTCTACCGCAGGTCGTCGTGGATGCGCATGTGGCCGAATAGACCCATGCGATGCGTGAAGGGCCGAGGGCAGTGTGGGCAGTGGAGGCGAGTGCGGTGGGTGTAGGTTGGTGCTCCAGCCACTGGTTCGCCAGTCCCCGTGCGATGGATTCGCAAGTGACCGACCAGGCCGATGCGTGAGGTGAACGTGCGTGGGCAGTGTGGGCATGAGAAGTCGGCGGTGTCGGTGTCAGCTGTAGAGGAAGCAGTGGTTTTGGTTGTGGTAGTGGTGGTGGCGGTGGTGGAGGCGGCGGCGGTGGTGGTGGTGATGATAGGCGCATGTGGCGATGGATCCAGGGTGGTGCTGGGCATGGTGGATGTATTGGATGTCGTGGCTGTATCGGAATTGTGGTCAATTCCGCTCTCGTGGATGCGCATGTGGCCGAATAGACCCATGCGATGCCTGAAGGTGCGAGGGCAGTGTGGGCAGTGGAGGTGTGTGCGGTGGGTGTAGGTTGGTGCTCCAGGCACTGTTTCGCCGGTCTCTGTGCGATGGATTCGCAAGTGACCGAACAGGCCGATGCGTGAAGTGAAGGTGCGATCGCAGTGAGGGCAGATGTAGCCCTGGCCCTCACGTCTGATGATGGAGGTTGCAGGGGTTGTGCCTGTTGTTGTGTCAGGTTCGGCTGTGGTGAGGTCGTGGGCGACAGACGCCGAAGCGGCCGTCGTTGTGGCAGTGATGGAGGAAGAGGAGAAGGAAGGGGAGGAGTGAGCGGTGGTAAGGTCGGTGGCGTCGATGTCGGCTGGGGAGTGGTTAGTGGGTGCACAAGGTGATGGATTGGGAGTGACGCTCGGCGGGGTGGGTGTGTCAAGGCTGCGGTCAATTCCGCTCTCGTGGATGCGCATGTGGCCGAATAGACCCATGCGATG